ATTAAATCCTCTGAATCAATTCAAGCCCCTGGCCAGTGGGGGTGCGGTGAGCAACACCTTTGTGTGATTTGCGTTGTACGGACAATAAGTAAAGGGAGAGTTGTTTTGATATGTGGTATGTACTCCATAATGAATGTGGATGTTGAGAAAGGCAAACCAGTCAAAATTGGGTCACAATAAATAGAGCAAACTGTCTGCTAATGAAGATGCTGAGATGTGGTTGAAAGTAGAGCTGCAATGATTAGTTGATTAATCAATTAGTTGTCAAATTAATTGGCTACTATTTGAGAATTGATCAATTGAGTCATTTTTTAAGAAATGTCCAAATTCTCTGATCCTTAGTTGAAAGCTCTGGAAAAATCTAGTAAAAAATCTGTACCAAAGCAGTATTAAAAAGGGGGAATTGAACCTCTGACCTAAGCAGTTTAGTGCCTTGCTCATTATTGAACTGACTAAAAGAAATCCCCAGTGAGAGAGGAGACTAATCCTAGTAATAATAAAAGTAATCACAGTATAACTCCTTTATTACCCCTTATGCAGACTGCTGCAGTAGCCACCAGTCATGGCTGTGTAATATCATTTTACATAATAGTTTTTATAGCCGGCTTCCTCTCCAGCCAAATGAAAAGTTATTATACCCAGAAGCATAGAGCTTCCATTAAAGCCTTTAAAGAGCTCTCTTTCTTCTACAAATCTTAACCCACTGCTTGGGTTTCTATCTCACCAAATTTCCCAGCATCCCCGGAGTGGTGTGACCTTAAATTCCTTCCCCTGGGGGGGCTGGCTATGGCTCAGTGGTTGCCTATAAGGGCAGTTTATTCTGTACAGGTGGGACAGCTAACAATACCTCCTTTCATTCCCGTCACACTGAATGTTCCTCCTCCTAGACTCTGATGTCACGTCCAGCTAGCAAGAGCAGCTACGCTACATTAACTGCTGTTAACTGAGGAGACAACCAGAGGAGGGAGACGGGACAGACTAGCATGCACATGAACTGTCTCTAAAGTGAAAGGACACAGGTTTGAATCCCTCAGAAGCCAGTACATATCAGACTTAGGCTCAGTCAGTGTCCATGAGAGCAGAAATATATTCACCCTATTTATTATCGAGCATGTATGTAATATACTACCTTCATTAATATCAAACCTTTGTATTAGTGAGGAAATCTATTAACTGATTTGTTTATGGGTATTTATCAAGTAAAATATATCATCATTATTTTCCTCTGTGTGAGGATTATCTTTGTAAGGTGACTGTTTTAAGACTTGAGCTTAAACTTCTGATAGACATTTTATTTTCAAAGTGATTTATTAGTTTGGGAAATAACAAGTTTCAGAGAATTTGAAGTAACTAATCATTCATCAGTAGGGGTGGGTAAAAATATCGATATGGCAATATATCGCGATACTTTGCC